CAGTTGGGATGCTAAGAGTCGCATCAACCAGCGGGACTGACGACCCGATTCCTTAAGTCGTCTCTAGCGAGAAACCTTGGTTGCTTTCGGCCAACTCTTCGCTGGATTATCAGGGGTAAAACTACAACTTTGTCACCCTAGCGACTCCGACGTGTGGGTAACCTCATGGCTGTGACAACAATGATGTGTACCGACATCGCATTCCGCAATCATCAGTACTCAATTCGAAAAGGAGATAATAAGCTTAAAATACTTAAAGCAAAATGATGAGATGAACAAGGAATTAAAAACAATTAAATACACCCGAACAAGTCTCATCGGTGACAGTAGTTTTGATTTGATATTCACTCAATCGCAATATTTTGACAGTTCACAGCTAGCTATATCCAATAATTATGATTCCCTTTAAGTGACACCAAGCTTAATTAAACCATCACAGCCAAGTCCTTGCTGTCCGACGTCTGAGTGAGGCTAATGTGGCTTTTGGAGGAGCACTGGAAATGAAGTCACAAAGTTGCGGCGGAGAAGAGGCCATCGCGGACACCACCGCAGTAATTGCATGGCGCGGTCTTCTCTGCACGCACATCACATACTACAATTCTGGCCGTGCGCTCGCGAACCCGTGCTGCTGATGAATGTGATTGATGATGGCAAGGATAATTGGACCCGATCAAACGCGATCCAACTTGAGCTCGTGTCGATTACCGATAATGAATTCTCCATAAATAAACACTAAAGACTCCGTTTTTCCAAAGTTCCGGAATTTTGCCGGGGAAAATAATAGGCTAGGACCACTGGAGTAGACAGGGGCAGGGAAAAGCTGTTATTACGCGCTGCTCCCGAGTCATCAAATGGCCCAAATCATCTTCAGCTATAAATGTTTTAATGAAGTAACGGTGCCCAATTCTCTTCCGAGGCAGCACTTAATATCAATTTTGCTCGTGCTATTTCCACTCATTACGCCTGACCCCCCTTACAACAAGGAGCGGAGGAGATAACACGAACCGGTCTTGTCTTAGTTTCCGTAATTTAACCTTATTATAAGACACTGCGGCCAGTTGTTAGGCAAATAGCGGTAGTTTGATGTCCGCGACGCATACGAGTAACTTTTCTTTCTAACGGAAGAGCTCCGTTAAAAAGCAAAATCTGCTTGTGCCGAATGGTAATCGTGCCTGCATTTTAATAAAACTTTCATTAACTGCTTTTATAGTAGTAATTATGTTATTATGGGTAGTTTTGAGAGATAACGATTCCCCAACAACTATCTTCAATTTTGTAACGTTATGTATACAAGATTGATTTTTTTATTCAATGCATTTGTTTGAAAAGTCTCGAATAAAGACTTGAGTTAGTGTTTTTCCACTTCAATCGAACAGAGCTACAAAAAGGTTTTAATACCAGAAAGTGCAGAAGAGTATTGATTTTCACTTAAATCTTTGAATTTTGTGTTTATCAAAAGGAATGATACATCAAACCGTATATAATCACCAGAGTAAAGAGATAATTATTAAGAAGTTGAAATGACATTCATATTCCTTTGTGCGTGTGCCAATTATTCATAATTACACGTAGATGAAACTACATTGAAGTGAGCTAATAAACTAATTGTGACCATGCGATTAAAACAAATAAAAACACACACTTATGTATAGCATGAAAATATCAACAAAGAAAATACCCTTGATGTTTGATAACCTTTCCAGGAGGACATGAACTTGTTTTAAATTTATTGTCATACTTTTGATTTTAATCGGCTAATATCGTATTATTAGCATCACACGATCAACAGTTTCTCGTTATTTCGCCAGCTTGTTTTCCCGAGTCATCTTCACACATCGAGATATTCCTGACTGATGTGCTGATTATAATTCACTTCCAATGCAAGTGTCTATTTGAAAAATATCATATTACGTAAAATACAAATTAATTTGTTTTGACAGTTACACCAGAAGCATTAATGTAATTAGGCAGCTATGACAATCCTCAAACATATAAGCGTGACCAGCAGATTCCGTTAGTTCTCTCTTACGACAAGCGAGGATTACTTAAGACAATCTGCCCGTGCGCATCAAATATGTGATTGCGGAGGGTGAAGTATTATGCCTCGTACAGTGGTCAAGCCGTATCTATTGATTTCACAAATTGTACTCGTGTGGAGAATACGTACTATCCCGGATCTTTACGCGGGCAAGAATTGTAAAAACGAGGATGCTTAATAGAAAACACATTATTGGAATATAACACTAGACTTATGACAGAAGACAGATACACGGCGAACATAAATACCAAACTAACTTTAAACATTGAAGAAGTCTCTCTCCCAGACCAATGGGAACAAATTAAACAATGAATCCAACTCCAGTTTTGAATGATTTGGCAAATTCAGAATTATTAGGGGTTCAATTCAAGTTTTCAATTCTATTTTTGTTTGTACAAATACGGTTTTGAAGTTATTAATAACGTTAGTCTAACAGTAAATAATCATATCTAGTAAACAAAATTTGTATAATTGTTATTTGATATAAACTTACACTTATTCTTTGTGGTAATATTAACAGTTGTTGCATGTGATAGTTTCAGTCAAGTTCATTACCACCACAAAATGGTGAAAGTGTAGGATGATGACTACATGGCATATGTGTAGCTAGGGTGCACGTAGGTTTCACGTTATCAATTAGTTCACAGATGTAAATCTAATATAATAACGCGATAAGATTTTTTGCTTTGATGTTTTGCTGTCATGCAGATTTATAAATGAATAAGGCGACAAATACCCTTTGCAAGCGTAAGAAAACTCTGCTAAAAGCGGAGGATCACGACATCATAAACAGATGTATATGAATCATTGTCAAATAGTGATGGCAATAGGTGTTCGTACGAAATATCATAAACAGATGGAATCATTATCAAATAGTGATCACGACTATATCATAAACAGATGTATATGAATCATTATCAAATAGTGATGGCAATAGGTGTTCGCCAAAAATGGACGATACGATCACGACTTATCAAATAGTGATCATAATAGAACAGATGTATATGAATGAATTATTATCAAATAGTGATGACAATAGGTGTTCGCTAAAATAGAACCATAAACAGATGTATATGAATCATTATCAAATAGTGATGAAACCAGGCGTTCGCTATCACGACTGTATCATAAACAGATGTATATGAATCATTATCAAATAGTGATGAAACCAGGTGTTCGCTAAAATAGAACGATTACGACTGTATCATAAACAGATGTATATGAATCATTATCAAATAGTGATGACACCAGGTGTTCGCTAAAATAGAACGATTACGACTGTATCATAAACAGATGTATATGAATCATTATCAAATAGTGATGAAACCAGGTGTTCGCTAAAATAGAACGATCACGACTGTATCATAAACAGATGTATATGAATCATTATCAAATAGTGATCGCTAAAATAGAACGATGACTATCAACAGATGTAAACAGATGTATATGATGAACCAGGCGTTCGCTAAAATTACGATCAAATAGTGATGAATCCAAATAGTGATGAAATCCAGGTGTTCGCTAAAATAGAACGATCACGACTGTATCATAAACAGATGTATATGAATCATTATCAAATAGTGATGACACCAGGTGTTCGATGTATATGAATCATAAAATAGAACGACCGACTGTATCATAAACAGATGTATATGAATCATTATCAAATAGTGATGACACCAGGTGTTCGCTAAAATAGAACGATCACGACTGTATCATAAACAGATGTATATGAATCATTATCAAATAGTGATGAAACCAGGCGTTCGCTAAAATAGAACGATCACGACTGTATCATAAACAGATGTATATGAATCATTATCAAATAGTGATGACACCAGGTGTTCGCAAATAATTTACGATCACGACTCGTCATAAACAAATGTATATGAATCATTATCAAATAGTGATGACACCAGGTGTTCACCAAAAAGTGACTTATATCCTGCCCCGCCGGTGTCACCCTTCATAAATACATGCACGTACTGTTGATAGTTCAGACAAAAGAGGAGAACGGATGGTACGAAAATAAAAGAGATGCATCAGGCTTGCTTCTTGCCACTGATGCATGTCATGATCATCTGGACACAGCTTATTTTCTAATATTTATAATAAAGAAAAAAAAAGGAATAGCTTTTTCAAGTCTCAACATTTGCCGTCCAGCTATGATTGTAACAGTAAAACACTGAAACAATCAAGACGTCTTTTGTGCTTATAATATACCTAATAATAGTTATAATAATAGCATATACATACCTAAAATGAAAACAATTTAATTAACAGGTATGAAACGTATACTCTGCTATCGAAAAAGATGCGCCAACTGTCTGTAAAAAATGCATTGTAATAATACCAGTCATTGATAAAAATATTACTAATCCGGCTAGCAATCAGTAACATAACCCTGTTACATGAAAAACTTCAAACACAACAGTATTTCAGATCAACAATCTAAAATAGTTTTCAAAACACACAACCAGGGATTTCCATTACCAGACCAGTTGAAAATTCTTTCGTGGTGATTTCAAACAAGCACACACTATTCAAAGTATCTGTTTCGTAAAATGTGTCTTCCAAGGGCTGAAGTAAAGTAGGAGTTTCGAGACCTTAAATGAGTCACACCAAGACAATTGTCATTTTTTCCACAGAGCAGCCAGTAGGCCTGTTCCTAATAATCGACAACCCACCTAACAGATGATAATTTATGAGCTGGGCAGGGAGAGCCGACGGGCCAGAGAAGACGGAGACACAACCAGAGACTAATCAGCCCAATGATAGGTAGCCTGCCTTAATTGTACCTTAACATTTCGCATATTTGGGCAACAAGCGCAAAATATCATGTAAAGTAAACACCGGGTTGCTACATACATAAATTATTGAGTTGACTTTTCTATTGATGTTTTGTGGTGGGGAGATCAACCCATGGCGTATCTTATTCCACTTGTGGTGCGGAAGCCTTTGGACTATTTACCTGTTTTCCACGGACTTTAAGACCTACCTGCTATAATTACCAGTGTGATGAGTCTGGGAAACTCATTGTAATCGTGGTCACAGAAGTCTAATACCCGTGTGCTGCCCATGTTTGGTTTTGCTGTTGGAGCAAACACAGCGAACGTTTCCCTACCATCTAAAGTTGTCAGTGTCATTGAAACCGTTGCTAGTCGGACAACGTATGTAGTACACAATCAGCTTATGGAACACGAACCAAAATTGGAGGTATGTGTGAAAATATTGAAACCAAATCTGTCTTATTGAATATATATATATATATACGAACAATTTGTTCAATCATTAAGACATCCGAAGCGCTAAACTTTATAAGCCTAAAAGTATATTCACACAATTTCTGTTTATAAAAAAGTTGTACTTGCTAAGGCAGTTTTTGTGAGACAGGATATATTCTCTAAGGCATAATAACTCACATAAGTTATTCGGTCTAATCTATATTACCTTCCTGTGTCCTTTAAGGAGATTGCCGTCTCTCACCGAACAGACAAAAAATAATTCAATTCTTTTTACATAATATACACTTCATAGATTGTTTATAGCTTCACGTACCAAATAGGTTTCGCTGTTCATTTAGTTATATTAAGTGTACGCTGTATATTCTATATACCTGTTTGCATGCAATAGTCCCTTTTCTTTGATGTAATTGTGTGGATGATGTATAATAATTACATTCTTTTTCCTTTAACGTAAACATAAATATTTTCTTTCCTGGAAGACAACTTATCAACGCAGTTTATTGCGTGCATAACACGTACTTGTTGTTTCTTTTATTAATGGTGTCTAACAAGTGCAGCTATGTTTGATAAATATAGAAAGCGAAAAACATTAGAAATATAAGAAACATAAGAAATATCTAGTACAGTACTAATACAGAGTCGACTGTATCATCCCGGCTGTATCACAAGCAAAGTTTCATATTCAAATAGTCACGATGCCTAGTCATAAGAAATATCTACTGTAAACAGAGTCGACTGAACCCAATTGTAACGACATCCAATATTAAAGAAAATGTTAATACGTATCCTGCTTTTTCGTGCACCCGTCAAATTACGTCACCCATATTACGGCAAGTCAAATGTTCACATACAATCAGGTAAACCCGTACAACAAATCAAGATAGGTAAGTGCTTCAGTCACTGATGCGTAAAATTTGAAAATGTCCAAGACACTCTGAAAGGTTTGCCGAAGCCTGAAATGATTTAACGTAGATCAAACAGCATTTGAGCGATTTATCGGAAAATGATCCTTTCCTTCATGCAGAAATGAGGGGAGCGTGTGTTCCATTCTGAAGCTTTATGAAACAGACATCAGACTGTTTCTCAAAGTTTGCAATTCTCACGTAGGTATACCCCACCACAAAGAGAAACAAGGAACATGTAGAGTCAAGCATTCACTGTTATGCATATACAATTTGTATAGAGATACATTACACTATTCATTTGTACATATTTATATTCATGATAAACTTGCAGTCACCACCACGTCCGCTGATAGGGATAAATGTTTAAATCAGTTTGCTTTCGCAGCCCATATTAACATCAGGATTAAAAGCATAAACGCGAGAAAGGTTTGTCATTATTAATCCTAAATCGATTTGTGTGGCCCTAATATCACATACGTATTTTGTTGAAACATAATTTATAAGTAAAATAAAGCATTGTCTTATAGTGCATTCTTATTGCATGTAAACATGGATGCATTAATTTCTCTATATGATAAATGTCGCCATTTAGACGGCAAGAACACAACTCCTTCAAACATGCCACAGAAAACATGTTTACAAAGAAATAACATTACATAATATCAAATATGGATTCTCATGTGTCTAAAACGGTTTCTTTATGTAATATGTAATTTTTATCACTATTTTATCTTTTGCGAAATCTGTTTCGGATTATAATAAATATTCGCTAACTGATTTTGTATTAATAATTTTCTCTGCATTCATGGCAAAATAACGATTGTTTCTTGAGTAAATATATATCTTCCACATAAAGTAATTGTGTACGGACAAACTAGCCTTTCTAGAATAACAACATCAAAGGCTTTTCTGTCATAATCAATACATCATAGACTGTTATGCTTGTTGGACAGATGATAAATATTTAGAGCAATATGTAATCAGAATCATAATCAAAGGCCATTCATTTAAGCTGGCATATGCTTCATTAGGTAGAAAACATGTGCTTTAGGTTTAAATTATTTCTGAGAATAGTTTGTAAATCTGCTTTTTATAGAAGGAACATAAAACATGCTCATGTAACCAAGTGCGTAAAGATACATTTTCCCTGTATTACCTTAAATAGTTTGTAAATTATAGACAAACTCCTCTGACACTTTAGAAATAAATAGAATCGTGCATTGCTAATACATATTTGTATTCCTAATGTTCCTCAGTGTCAGTTAACGTCTTCCTTCCGACTCATAAATATATTTGATTTGATTTTGTAAATGTAGTACACATTATCTACATGTTAAATGAAATATTTCGAGTAAAAAACCCTCTAAGTTTATTGCATTTTATGTTCAATACACTCGTTTGTGTTTGAGTGGCATGCCTGCTCTTCTTTCTGAAGACATGAAGAGCATCACAGTTATAACGTGAACCATATATTGATAATATTGCTCTTCATGTTTAACGCATACGTTCTTCTGGATGCCATGCCCGCTGATCCTACTGACGGAGAACATGATCATGAAGAAGAGTATGCCAAAACAATGAAACACGTTTTTTTAAGTGTAATACATTTCTGGAAAAGTGCACCATAATGCACATCTATATATGGCAAAATATTACTTACCTTTTAGGCTTACTTACTTAGCTTTTGAAATGATAAGTTTAACCCACGATGATGTTCATACATTAAATTCTATTATTATTTGATCTGTTTAGAACTAAGATTTCTTGTTTTTAATGAAACATTGCACCAGTGTGATAATAAGTAATGTATTTTCAAAGTCGCGTATACATGTACCTTTACTGTGCACTCGTTGTACTCTTGGTGAATATTTAGAAGTTTTATGATTCTTGAAGAGTACGAAAGAGGAATTTAATTATGAATGGTTTTCTCGCCTTGTACGTATCATCATTCCGATATTCGTAGGACTTGTATACTCATGCCAATAATGGTTATCACCCCCTTCAATTTTTTAATTGGAGAGGGGTGTGGGGTGGGTGTGTGAGGTGTGTGGGGGTTGGGGTGGGGAGGGGTGACAACCATTATTGGCATGAGTATATTTACTTGACATCATGCAGATCTTTTGTATGCATTTAGGAGATATATATTTTATCAATAAACCGATGATTTAATAACCTATGTTATAAATTCATGACAACTTTACCCTATACAGATGCTTAAATGGTAGACGGGGGTAAATCAGATTCAAGGATTAGTAATACGTTGATTGACGTTGTTTGTTATCATTTACAATAGTCCTTTCCTTTATGTCAAATGATATTCAAACACTTACAGCCTTTGGGTCAACATTTCACAACGTTTAAAGTACAACTGTGCATGCTCTTTGTACGAAGATTTCAACTGTCATACGGTATCGCCCAAAATGGTTTCCAAAGTGACTATACGGATTCTGAATAGTCCAAATAGAAAAAGCATGGTATATAACAATGAGTTTGCCCTCAAGGGAGTTAATCAGTGAACATAAGATAAGATCACCCGTCAATAAATGTTCGCTTTTTTTCTGCTATCGTGTGAGTGGTGGCGAAGGTACAAGTATCCCAAGACAGGAGTAACCTCGCGAAAACCTGGTGCCATCACTGAATTTATTTGTGTCAAATAGTGAGTGAGTGAGTTTAGTTTTACGCCGCCCTCAGCAATATTACAGTATATGGCGGCGGTCTGTAAATAATCGAGTCTGCACAAGACAGCAGTGATCAACAGCATGAGCATCGATCTACGCAATTGGGATACGGTGACATGTGTCAACCAAGCCATTGAGCCTGGCCACCCGATCCCGTTAGTCGCCTCACGACAAGCATGGATTACTGAAGATCAATTTTAACTCGGATCTTCACGGGTTTGTGTCAGTTAAAATCTATTTAGGAGAATATGTGAAACTGTCTGGCGTTGATGCGTAAAATGTACGTGAACAGGGGTGGAGATTTTTTTGATGAACTGATGTCCCCGACCTTCATCATAAATTTTGTAAGTCATGCTGTGTTATACTCTGTTTGCAGTGAAAACGTACCGATGAATTGTATTTAAAACAAAAAAGTAAATCAAATAAAGTGAAATTAAGATTGCGAATCCTCATAATTTTACCTTGCCAACTGAACATTTAAATCTCAGAATTTTATTCAACTTAGGGTGAAAGTTGTTTTTAGCAAACGATCATAGATCCAAATCGCTATTATTGGTTCGTATTATTAGAGGGTATCATATTGGAATAGGACGGAAGGGTAGGCTGGTGGTTAAAGCGCAACGACAAAGACCTGGTTCGATTCCATATATGGGTACAATACGTGAAACGCAGCATCGGTATTGCAGACATTGGTAAAAGTAGCCGAAAACTACATTTGAATATCATAATTGCGTGAGTGAGTGAGTGAGTGAGATAGGTTTAAGTCCCTCTGATAAAGAGTCTAGTTATACCAGAGTGAATCAGCGTTTGACGGTAGTAAAGTCTGAAGTGATGCTGATAAACTTGGAGACATCGCAGCAAACCGAGATTCGACCTCACAATCACAGGTTTCTGGCGTGCCCAGGGGGCGCAACTCTGTACAGCAAATACATGATCACACTTATGAGCAACATTTTATATGTATATCAGTTTGAAGAATGAAAGTAGTTATACGTGTGAATATGTCAACGAGAATATAAGCCTGAATGGTTGTACATGCGAGTATAACGTGTCTATATTCAAATGACCCGGCCTGAACATGTAAAATTGCGAATTCATCATGAATTTATGTATTTGTGAATGAATTATACAGGACTTGTGAAAAGCGTTCCAGAAGAAGGAAGTCGTGTGTATTCAAGTGTACTTAAGTGACAAGGCAAATAAATACAAAATCATGAATTTGTGTACAGGATATTTTATGGTAGTCATGTGTAGGACATTTCGAAATTGAGACAAAAATGATGTCAGATGCAATTCCCTATTTTGACTTGTACCATGCGTTACCGAATTATTTCAGGTGAACTAACAACATTTTGCATATGTTTATAGGTTTATGACGGGTGCCACCG